AACCCAAACAATTACTTAACACTTTCAAAGCAATCATAGCTGTTTCTTGCAGCAAAGATTTATCTAACACTTTAAATGTATTAGTTTTATGGATCATGGGGGACAGGTCTGGATTATAATTTAGCTCTCACACACAGACATGTCTAATAATTTGCTGTGTCTGTTCGAATTCTGTGTACTCCCCTTATGGACCGGGTCAAATTGACCCTAATTGGATTCAATACAATTCCTCAAAAATCACACTATGAAAAACAACAAAGATTTAGATACAAACTGTAAACTTTTAATATCAACATTTGTCAAACATTACAAAAACATTATATCTGAAAATATGAAACATTTTTTAAAACAGTTTTGTTTTGAAAAAATTGGAATATAAACAGTATACTGATTTTTTTGCATATATTTTTTTTCCTTTTTTTTTTTTTTTTTTTTTTTTTTTACATTTTATGCTTTGAACATCGTAACTGAACAAAAAAAATTGCTGTATAATGACAATTTTTCATTTTCCTTAGTTAACTTTCCCTAGTTTCCTAAGACCTATTTTCAAAGTTTCATTATTCACTCACTTGGAAGTGAGAAACCAAACATAACAAAAACATACATCAAATAAATGTTTTGTATTTATTTTTTGGCTCTGTGAATCTGCCTTTGAAAATCCTACATAAAAGTTTTGGTTAAAAGCTATAGGTATTTTAGATATTTTGAATATTGAAATGAGAGCTTATTTTACTATCTGTGTCTGACAAAGGTTTTCATCTGTAATTTGCAAATAATTCTGAACACTGTAATTTTAGCTTTTTCTAGTGTGTTTGGTTAGGGTTAGAGCACTTTTAGATGCACTTGCATGTTAGAACTGGAGTCGAAGTGCCCTTACATACAGAAAATAAATGTTTTTATTTTGTGTCTGTACAGTTGCTTTTGAATGGCTGCCTATGAGGGTCAAATTGACCCGCGAACATCACGAACGTAACAGTAATTTTGTTTGTATATGTCAAAACACATCACGATGTTGAAACTTTGCATGCATGTTCATCATGATAAATGAGAAAAAGTCACAAAATATCAAGAAAAAAAACAAAGGTTAACCAGTATTTCCAACAACTTGAAAATCGAAACGGGTCAAATTGACCCGCAACATAACACAAGGGTTATAAATGTTCTCTCTTCTTGTGCTCAGATGGCTCACGTTGGATCATTTGTGCACTCTGTGCTCCTGGTAAAATAAAGAGTGTGACGAAATCTCAACACAAGTGGTCACAGAAGACGCGTTTGAAAAGCACGTCAATAGCAGGTGGAAATGGTAATGCATATATGCTGTAAAGTTGTGATCGAATCACTGAAAGCACATCTAACTATCAGGTGGAAACAGTCACACACATTCAATAACACATTCACTGAACCCCTCTATGCTGGATTTGGGGTTTATTGGTAGTTACAATGTTTCATTAAGTTTTGATAATAATTCATAGCAATTCATGGCTCTACAGTGTGACCATTTGTGTCTCATTTATTTATTTTTCTGTAAAACCTATGTTGGTGACCTCTTATCTCAGTGTCATGTCATTAAAATAATATTGCCCAGCAATCTCTCAAAGGTACAGAGGTGACATTGAGGCATTGATACAGTGTCTGGATCGGAAGAAGAGTCATTTATATATCATTGTTTTCCTCTTTCAGTGGTAGCCTTTGCCAAATGAGACTCAGCAAAACCTCAAGTTTAAGGGGCGGTTTACCTGACACTGTTTTCAACTGAAAAGTGTTTTAACCATTCAGCATAATACAGTGTTTTTTGTCATTTTCAAACGTTTACATTACATACATTTACATACGTGTGAATGGGGATCATTTTGATAACGTTGTCATCTGTAAAAAGGAAAGCTTTTCCGTTTTTAGTACATTGCTGTCGTGTAAATCTTACCCAAGTCTGCATTTATCACACTAATGGCCAGATTTACTGAACAGGGAAAAGAGCAATTCCAAAAAAGCGCAGATGTGGCAGTGGAAGGTTCTGCTCGTGATCTACTGGCGTGATCTATAGTGTTGTTGCTGTTTTGTATGTAAGAATGTGAGTATTATTGTTTGGGAGAGAGGGGTGGACCTCTTATTTTAGTTCTAATGTAAATGAATGTAATGAAAGCAAATTGATTGCTGTAAGTGACACAGATAAACAAAACTGCTTGTTCCTCGTTAGACTTTGAATCTGAAATGATGTTAATGAATAACAGAAAGTATGTTATGGTTATGAGTAATTGCTGTCTTAGATCAATGTTTCCTTCTCAAAATAAAAATGACATGTATAACTTTAATGTACAGCTGAAATGGTCAAGTCCTGATATATTTCACCTCTAATGACTGATGACGGTTATTAATTAATCTTTTTGCACTCATTGTAACATTTATTTAAAATTATAAAACATATTGCCTGTGAAGCCCACTATGAGACATGGCTCTAGATACATATCCTTAAAAATATATGTTTAAATTCCTGATATTTGAAAATAATTTTTTTTTCTATCTGTCAGAAATACATAATAACAACAATACACATTTAATGTACTTATTTGGGGTTATTTCCTTATAAAGAGCCATAATGAATTACTGATTTTAGTATATAAAATAAAAAAGAGGAGTTTAGAGAGGAGTTTTTTGGGGAAATGGGGGAACCTCTTTATTACCTGTAATCCTGAGCTTCCACAAACTTTTTACTTAACTAGTGCTGGGCAACGATTGACCGCATCCAAAATAAAAGTTTGTGTTTACATAATATATGTGTACTGTGTATAGCCTAATTATTTTGTATATATAAATACACACATATGCATGTATATATTTAAGAAATATTTGCAGGTATGTACTGGATATATATATATATATATATATATATATATATATATATATATATATATATATATATATATATATATATATATATATAAATAACACATTTTTCTTAAATATATACAGGCATGTGTGTGTATTTATATGTAAAAAATAATTATACACAGTACACATATATTATGTAAATACAAACTTTTATTTCGGATGCGATTAATCGTTGCCCATCACTACTTAGAACCCATCAAAACCATCATATTTATTAAAAAAATAACATTCAAGAAAATGTAACCTTCTTTATGCTTTTCTTTCGTATACTTGGCACCTTAATAAACACCTTGTTTGCTTTGAGAGATAATGCTAAACCAGGAAGTGTTTTCAAAAAAATATTGAACTGCTTTTTCCTCGTTAGACTTTGATATCTTTAGGGAAATTATGTTAATGAATGTTAATCTTAATGGTTATGAGTAATTGCTATCTTAGAACCATGTTTCCTTCTCAAAATGAAAATAACATGTATAAATTTAATGCACAGCTGAAATGGTCAAGTCCCGATATTTCACCTCCGATGACTGGTGAGCGATCAGTTATTAATTACTGATCTAATTGGTTGCTCTCATTGTAAAATATTAAGAAAATGGCTCTAGATACATTTCCTTAAAACAATATGTTTAACGTCCTGATGTTTGTAAATTAATCTATTCTATATCTGCCAGAAACACAAAATACCATACCAATGTACATTTAATTTCCTTATTGTGGTTTATTTCCTTATAAAGAACCATAAGAAATTGCTTATTATTTCTGTATATATAATATTTTACTTTAGTTTTCAAACGGATGTTTCCTTAATCTTGAACCAATATCTAGAGCTTTATAGTGGACACTCATGTCATAAATATGTTATCAAGACACACAGGAGTCTGAGAATCTGACAGATATATAACGAGTGTTTGTGTCAGACTGAACAACACAAACGGTGAGTTACTGTTTTATTCTTCATTTACTGAACAGAACATTTGTACAATTTTCAGAAAATAAAATAGAAATAATATGCACTTTTATATTTCTTTTATTTAGAGAAAACCAATCTACTGAGGAGAGACTGAGAAAATGGCAGTAAGTTCATCTGCTTCCTTCATTGTGTCTATTACCCTGAACCACTAAATACTTATTTCATATTTGTTTCATTTTCAGTGTGATGTTTATTTATTTCTCTTATGTTGGTTTTGTGTTTAGGCGCATGCTTAGATTTTCATGTCTTTTATTTTGAAATTTAGTCACGTTTCCTGTTTGCCATGTGCTCCCCTTGTCTGTGTCATGTTCTGATTGGTTGTTCTAGTCATGTGTCCCATGTTCTCATTTGTTCATTGCTTTCAGGTGTATTAAAGGGATAGTTCACCCAAAAATGTAAATTAGCCCATGATTTACTCTCCCTATAGTCAGGTGTAATCAGAGTTATATTAATGTTCTGGCTCTTCCAAGCTTTATAATGGCAGTGAATGGTCATTTATATTTTGAAGTCCATTGAAGTGCATCTGTCCATCATAAAAGTGCCTCTATCCATAATTAAAGTGCTCCAAACGTCTCCGGGGGTTAATAAAGGCCTTCTGAAGTGAAGCGATGCGTTGGTGTAAGAAAAATATCCATATTTAAAACTTTATCGACTAAAATAACTAGCTTCCGGCAGACGGCCTACTCAAGTCGACTTACGCCACAAGAGTGACGCTTGACGTTGTATGACGTAGATGTAGAGTAGCGTAAGCTTTGACGCCTCTCGTGGTTCAAACTAACAGGGCTGGGCAACAAACTCAAGCTCCTCTGATATTTCTCTTTCAAAATACTCGTTTTAGACGAATGCGTGAGCGGTGTTTTGCTCTATCCTCTGTGCTTCCGCCTTCGTCAATGCGTCAAGTTCAAGCGTTACTCTTTCGCCATAAATCGATACGTAGGCCGTCTGCCGGAAGCTAGTTATTTTAGTCGATAAAGTTTTAAATATGGATATTTTTCTTACACCAACGCATCGCTTCAGAAGATCATTATTAACCCCCCAGAGCCGCGTGGAGCACTTTTATGATGGATAGATGCACTTTTATGATGGACAGATGCAGTTTTATGATGGACAGATGAACTTTTATGATGGACAGATGCACTTTTATGATGGATAGATGCACTTTTATGATGGATAGATGCACTTTTATGATGGACAGATGCACTTTTATGATGGACAGATGCACTTTTATGATGGACAGATGCACTTTTATGATGGATAGATGCACTTTTATGATGGATAGATGCACTTTTATGATGGATAGATGCACTTTTATGATGGACAGATGCAGTTTTATGATGGACAGATGCACTTTTATGATGGATAGATGCACTTTTATGATGGACAGATGCACTTTTATGATGGACAGATGCACTTTTATGATGGACAGATGCACTTTTATGATGGACAGATGCACTTTTATGATGGACAGATGAACTTTTATGATGGACAGATGCACTTTTATGATGGACAGATGCACTTTTATGATGGATAGATGCACTTTTATGATGGACAGATGCACTTTTATGATGGATAGATGCACTTTTATGATGGACAGATGCACTTTTATGATGGACAGATGCACTTTTATGATGGATAGATGCACTTTTATGATGGACAGATGCACTTTTATGATGGACAGATGCATTTTTATGATGGACAGATGCATTTTTATGATGGATAGATGCACTTTTATGATGGACAGATGCACTTTTATGATGGATAGATGCACTTTTATGATGGATAGATGCACTTTTATGATGGACAGATGCACTTTTATGATGGATAGATGCACTTTTATGATGGACAGATGCATTTTTATGATGGATAGATGCACTTTTATGATGGACAGATGCACTTTTATGATGGACAGATGCACTTTTATGATGGATAGATGCACTTTTATGATGGACAGATGCACTTTTATGATGGACAGATGCACTTTTATGATGGACAGATGCACTTTTATGATGGATAGATGCACTTTTATGTTGGACAGATGCACTTTTATGATGGATAGATGCACTTTTATGATGGACAGATGCAGTTTTATGATGGACAGATGAACTTTTATGATGGACAGATGCACTTTTATGATGGATAGATGCACTTTTATGATGGATAGATGCACTTTTATGATGGACAGATGCACTTTTATGATGGACAGATGCACTTTTATGATGGACAGATGCACTTTTATGATGGACAGATGCACTTTTATGATGGATAGATGCACTTTTATGATGGATAGATGCACTTTTATGATGGATAGATGCACTTTTATGATGGACAGATGCAGTTTTATGATGGACAGATGCACTTTTATGATGGATAGATGCACTTTTATGATGGACAGATGCACTTTTATGATGGACAGATGCACTTTTATGATGGACAGATGCACTTTTATGATGGACAGATGCACTTTTATGATGGACAGATGAACTTTTATGATGGACAGATGCACTTTTATGATGGACAGATGCACTTTTATGATGGATAGATGCACTTTTATGATGGACAGATGCACTTTTATGATGGATAGATGCACTTTTATGATGGACAGATGCACTTTTATGATGGACAGATGCACTTTTATGATGGATAGATGCACTTTTATGATGGACAGATGCACTTTTATGATGGACAGATGCATTTTTATGATGGACAGATGCATTTTTATGATGGATAGATGCACTTTTATGATGGACAGATGCACTTTTATGATGGATAGATGCACTTTTATGATGGATAGATGCACTTTTATGATGGACAGATGCACTTTTATGATGGATAGATGCACTTTTATGATGGACAGATGCATTTTTATGATGGATAGATGCACTTTTATGATGGACAGATGCACTTTTATGATGGACAGATGCACTTTTATGATGGATAGATGCACTTTTATGATGGACAGATGCACTTTTATGATGGACAGATGCACTTTTATGATGGACAGATGCACTTTTATGATGGATAGATGCACTTTTATGTTGGACAGATGCACTTTTATGATGGATGGATGCACTTTTATGATGGACAGATGCAGTTTTATGATGGACAGATGAACTTTTATGATGGACAGATGCACTTTTATGATGGATAGATGCACTTTTATGATGGATAGATGCACTTTTATGATGGACAGATGCACTTTTATGATGGACAGATGCACTTTTATGATGGACAGATGCACTTTTATGATGGACAGATGCACTTTTATGATGGATAGATGCACTTTTATGATGGATAGATGCACTTTTATGATGGATAGATGCACTTTTATGATGGACAGATGCAGTTTTATGATGGACAGATGCACTTTTATGATGGATAGATGCACTTTTATGATGGACAGATGCACTTTTATGATGGACAGATGCACTTTTATGATGGACAGATGCACTTTTATGATGGACAGATGCACTTTTATGATGGACAGATGAACTTTTATGATGGACAGATGCACTTTTATGATGGACAGATGCACTTTTATGATGGATAGATGCACTTTTATGATGGACAGATGCACTTTTATGATGGATAGATGCACTTTTATGATGGACAGATGCACTTTTATGATGGACAGATGCACTTTTATGATGGATAGATGCACTTTTATGATGGACAGATGCACTTTTATGATGGACAGATGCATTTTTATGATGGACAGATGCATTTTTATGATGGATAGATGCACTTTTATGATGGACAGATGCACTTTTATGATGGATAGATGCACTTTTATGATGGATAGATGCACTTTTATGATGGACAGATGCACTTTTATGATGGACAGATGTGCTTTTATGATGGACAGATGTGCTTTTATGATGGACGATGTGCTTTTATGATGGATAGATGTGCTTTTATGATGGACAGATGCACTTTTATGATGGACAGATGTGCTTTTATGATGGATAGATGCACTTTTATGATGGACAGATGTGCTTTTATGATGGACAGATGCACTTTTATGATGGACAGATGCACTTTTATGATGGACAGATGCACTTTTATGATGGACAGATGCACTTTTATGATGGACAGATGTGCTTTTATGATGGATAGATGCACTTTTATGATGGACAGATGTGCTTTTATGATGGATAGATGCACTTTTATGATGGATAGATGCACTTTTATGATGGACAGATGCACTTTTATGATGGACAGATGTGCTTTTATGATGGATAGATGCACTTTTATGATGGACAGATGTGCTTTTATGATGGACAGATGCACTTTTATGATGGACAGATGCACTTTTATGATGGACAGATGTGCTTTTATGATGGACAGATGCACTTTTATGATGGACAGATGCACTTTTATGATGGACAGATGCACTTTTATGATGGACAGATGCACTTTTATGATGGACAGATGTGCTTTTATGATGGATAGATGCACTTTTATGATGGACAGATGTGCTTTTATGATGGACAGATGTGCTTTTATGATGGACGATGTGCTTTTATGATGGATAGATGCACTTTTATGATGGATAGATGAACTTTTATGATGGATAGATGCACTTTTATGATGGACATATGTGCTTTTATGATGGACAGATGTGCTTTTATGATGGACAGATGCACTTTTATGATGGATAGATGCACTTTTATGATGGATAGATACACTTTTATGATGGACAGATGCACTTTTATGATGGATAGATACACTTTTATGATGGACAGATGCACTTTTATGATGGACAGATGTGCTTTTATGATGGATAGATGCACTTTTATGATGGACAGATGCACTTTTATGATGGACAGATGTGCTTTTATGATGGACAGATGTGCTTTTATGATGGACAGATGCACTTTTATGATGGACAGATGTGCTTTTATGATGGATAGATGCACTTTTATGATGGACAGATGTGCTTTTATGATGGACAGATGTGCTTTTATGATGGACGATGTGCTTTTATGATGGATAGATGCACTTTTATGATGGATAGATGCACTTTTATGATGGATAGATGCACTTTTATGATGGACATATGTGCTTTTATGATGGACAGATGTGCTTTTATGATGGACAGATGCACTTTTATGATGGATAGATGCACTTTTATGATGGACAGATGTGCTTTTATGATGGACAGATGTGCTTTTATGATGGACAGATGCACTTTTATGATGGACAGATGTGCTTTTATGATGGATAGATGCACTTTTATGATGGACAGATGTGCTTTTATGATGGACAGATGTGCTTTTATGATGGACGATGTGCTTTTATGATGGATAGATGCACTTTTATGATGGATAGATGCACTTTTATGATGGATAGATGCACTTTTATGATGGACATATGTGCTTTTATGATGGACAGATGTGCTTTTATGATGGACAGATGCACTTTTATGATGGATAGATGCACTTTTATGATGGATAGATACACTTTTATGATGGACAGATGCACTTTTATGATGGACAGATGTGCGTTTATGATGGATAGATGCGCTTTAATGATGGACAGATGTGCTTTTATGATGGATAGATGCACTTTTATGCTGGACAGATGCACTTTTATGCTGGACAGATGCACTTTAATGATGGACAGATGCGCTTTAATGATGGACAGATGTGCTTTTATGATGGATAGATGCACTTTTATGATGGATAGATGCACTTTTATGATGGACAGATGCACTTTTATGTACTTCAAAACATAAAAAGCCATTCACTGCCATTATAAAGCTTGGAAGAGCCAGGACATTTTTTAATATAACTCTGATTGTGTTCGTCTGAAAGAAGAATGTCATACACACCTAGGATGACTTGAGAGTGAGTAAATCATGGGGCAATTGACATTTTTTGGTGAACTATCCCTTTAAGTGATTAGTCTTGACAAAATCAAGGCATTTGAGGCTTTCATCAAATTATGCAGAAAAACGGTTCATTACTCGACAACTCATGTCATGTCTAGCCTGGTCAACTGATTCACATATTGATCAATAATATAAAATATACAAGTTATCATAATTAGTAATTGACGTGAGTAGTTACTAAGTGTTAGTAGGTGTTCTGTTTTTTTTTTTTTTTTTTTTTTACAATTTATGTTATAGGGAAGTATAGTGTTAAATCAATTGAATACTCAACCGTTACAATGGACCCAGCAGTTTCTTTACTTCACCTCCAGTAAGGTGATCGCTGTATAGGAGATTATGTGGAGGAGTTTTGTGTACTGTGCCCCCTGGTGGGATTCAATAACGTAGCTCTAAAAGAAATTTTTTGCAACGGCTTAAATGAGTGGTTGAATTATCGGATGCCTGACCGTGATTTCCCAGGGACTCTAGCTGGGTATATAGACTATGCCTTGTTGTTAAGCGGTTCATCATTTACTGTGGGTTTTGCGGATGAGAAGCCCCACAATCCCACAGTGCCCTCCAAGACAGAGCCTGTTCACACCATGCCTGCCACACCAGAGTCTTCAGCCAAGATGGCCGCCACGCCAGAGTCTTCAGCCAAGATGGCCGCCACGCCAGAGTCTTCAGCCAAGATGGCCGCCAAGCCAGAGTCTTCAGCCAAGATGGCCGCCACGCCAGAGTCTTCAGCCAAGATGGCCACCACGCCAGAGCCTTCAGCCAAGATGGCCGCCACGCCAGAGTCTTCAGCCAAGATGGCCGCCACGCCAGAGTCTTCAGCCAAGATGGCCGCCACGCCAGAGTCTTCAGCCAAGATGGCCGCCACGCCAGAGTCTTCAGCCAAGATGGCCGCCATGCCAGAGTCTTCAGCCAAGATGTTTTGGTTAATGCTTAGGTTTACATGTCTTTTATTTTGAAATGTAGTCACGTTTCCTGTTTGCCATGTGCTTCCTTTGCCTGTGTCATTTTATGATTGGTTCTAGATTCTAGTCATGTGTCTTATATTCTCATTGGTTCAATGTTCATTGCTTTCAGGTGTGTTTTGTTATGTCATTAGTCTTTTTGTATAAATAGCCCTCATGTTTCCATTGTCTCTTGTTAAGTATTGTCTGTGTAACCGTTGTTGGTGAGTCTGCTAGGTTTATGGTCAAGTTTGTTTAGTTCTTGTTGTTCAAGTCAGGTCATTGTTTACTTTGTATTTTGTTCATGTTTTGATGTAAATAAACTGCACTTGGGTTTGCACTATGCTCGCCTCAGTGGACTTATGTTACACTCTCTCTCGTGTAGATGAAGGTGTTTTTGGCGGTTCTTCTCCCTGTTGTTTTTGGCCGTGACTGTAAATTCATGCCATTCGACTGTTCTGACGTCTACAACTCAGGAGAAACAGTCAGTGGGATTTACTCCATCTATCCAGCAGGAGACGTTCCTGTCTGGGTTTACTGTCACATGACCTCAGATGGGAAAGATGAAGACAAAGGAGGATGGACGGTACGAATGTGACTTTAGATCAGCAAACACACATCAGAACACACATTATGAATCATATATTCTATATAAACCCATCACAGGTGATTCAGAGGAGAATGGACGGCAGTGTGAATTTCTATCGGCCGTGGAATCAGTACAAGAGAGGATTCGGGAATGTGGAGAGCGAATACTGGCTGGGTAAGATCTCACAGCGTGTGTCCGTTTGTGTGGATGATCATGTGTTTGGTTGAACATGTTCTTCATGTGTGTGTGTGTGTGTGTGTGTGTGTGTGTGTGTGAACAGGGCTGGAGAACATGTACCAGCTGACACGTAACAGGAATTACATTCTGAGAGTGGATCTGGAGGACTTTGAAGGAAGGAAGGGTTTTGCTCAGTACTCGTCCTTCTCTGTGGATTGTGAATGTGCTGGATATAAACTACAAGTTTCAGGGTTCAAGAATGGAGGAGCAGGTAGGACACTTTCATTCATAGGAGTAAATGTGTACATTATCATGCACTTTCAAATGTTTTGGTAATTTTCAAATAAAAAAAAATTCAAGTCCTCAATTTTGATTCAGATTGTTCAATCAGTTAGTAAATATACTGTATGTCTCATTATTTAAATGTGGCTTACATTGGTAAATGTTAAGAAAACTGCACAATAAGCTTTAGTGAGTAATAATGACTAATAATTTAGTGAGCGGTGTGAGATGTCAGGCATGTTGCTCTGATAACATACATTATATGGGTAAAATGAAGCTTGCTAAGTGATAAATCCATTGTTTATTATATAACCTATCTGGTTAAACAAGTAGGGATGTGACTCTTTTATATATCATGTTAATCCTCATAATGATGCTCTTCTTCTCTACAGGCGACTCTTTGACCCAACACAATAATCAGAAGTTCTCCACCTTTGACAAAGATCAAGATGTCTTTGAGAAGAGCTGTGCCAAACAGTATCTCGGGGGGTTTTGGTACAAAAACTGTCACACTACAAACCCCAACGGTGTGTATTTATGGGGGGAAGATCCCACTCATTTCGCCATTGGTATTGCTTGGCACAGCTGGAAAGGGAATTACGCTATCAGTATGAAATCCATCAGCATGAAGATCAAAAGTATAAACTAACATTACAGTGTTAAAAGACAAAAGTATAATTCAGTTTTGACGCTTAGAGTATGTGTACAGCCGAACACATAGCCTTTCAAAGTATACTCCATTTGACAGTGTGCAGAAACACAGGCACTCAACACACGTGTACTGCAAGTTTCATCTTTGTCCAGAGCTCTCTCCAGAAGTTATGAATGATAAAAAATGACTTTGTACTCTTTTAAACTAGAGTTGTAGGTTTCTCTGTACCCTCTCACAAGTGCTTCAATGTCAGTCATTTTTCTTTGTTTTAAGTCAACATTTTCAGATTCACTATCCAAAGGACCTCTGTATTGAATGCATTATTCCTGTATGCATTAGTGTTTATTTCCACAACAGAAACACTAAATGAGGAATTCTGTGGAATCATAGATGTGAATTAATTGACTGAGTTTGGAGTCGTGGGAGCTGTTGAGTATTGTACGTAGACTGGAATAATTAATCACAATGTTTTTATATTTACAAAATACAATTAAGCTATTCAGTGGTAACTTTGGAAATCTTTTCTTTGTACTTTTGTCAGTTAAATAAGAGAATTAACCAATCACAGTTTCTTGATTTTATTGCATTTTGCAAAATGTACCAACTTTTCTGGAAATGCTCTATTTTAAAATAACATTCATGAAAATGTAACCACTTTTTAACTTTTCTTTCTGATCAATTGAGATGGATCTAAGCACATTAATAAACATCTCGTTTGCTTTGAGAGACGGTGTTAAACCAGGATGTGTTTTTTTTATAGGTGTCTGTTTGCTCCTTGTTGTCCCTTTGAATCTTTGCTGTCTTAGATCCATGTTTCCTTCTCAAAAAAAAAATAAAAAAAAAATACATGTTTAAATTTAATATACAGCTGAAAAGGTCAAGTTCTGATATTTCACCTCCATTAATTGATGAACTATCATTTATTAATAACTGATCTAATTTGGTTCTCTCTCTCTCTCTCTCTCTCTCTCTCTATATATATATATATATATATATATATAACATATTAAATGCATTTATTCTGTCAGAAACAAATAATAACATAACGATGTAAATTAAATTTATTTATTGGGGTTTATTTCCTTGTAAAGAATCATAATGAATTACTCATTATTTCTGTATATAGAATACAAATGTCTAATTTCTTAGCATTAACTTTGCCAATGCTGAGGAATTTAACTGTTGAAAATACATAATTTTGTGACATTACAACATTTTTGCATTTACTATAGTTTTTTAATAGATGTTAACTTAATCTTGAGCCAACATGTAGAGCAGGTGTTGGCAACTTGTGGCATGATAATCACAGAAGAATGGTTTGTCAGATCTGAACACAAGTAAAGGTTAAAATCTCACACTTTATTAGTACTTATAGCTCCTAGCTTAAAAAAAGAGGCTGTATGACCATGAGGAATGATTACCTCAGAATGTACGTCCATATACAAGTTTGAGAGACTTTATTTAAATTAAATACATACTTTAGCTATTGTCATGTGTTAGGGACTATGCCATATGCTGCCGACCCCTGATCTAGAGCTTTATAGTGGACATTTATGTCATAAATATTTGTGTCAGACTGAACAATACAAACGGTGAGTTAGTATTTTATTCTTCATTTACCTCATAGAGCATTTGTACAATTTTCAGGAAATGAAACAAAAAAGTGGATTTTATGTTTATTTTTACATTTCTTTTAATGATGTTTTATTAACAAAGTTCGGGAGGAGCACGTTCAGTCAATTAACACGAGTGGAGTGCACTCAGCAATCAATGATAAGACTGAGGTATATATAGACTCAGCAGTCTCACCTCACTCCATTGATAGTTTAGCAGCATCCCTCCACCACCCCTTCTCCACACTTCCAGTCCTAAACACTTACATAGGGGGGAGTACTCTGGGTTCGGGCCAAACTCCCCCCGGACAGCACGCCAAATACGCATTAAATCTTATCCACTCTAATTATATGTAAGTGTGAACACGTGAAATGTTCCTAAATCCGAACCGCAGAAGACGCAGTGGCTGAGTTTTGTTTTCGAAGGGAATATTCCCCACGATCAACGTCAATGCGTTCATGTTTGCGCGAATCATTTTTCACCAGACTGCTTTATAAACGAGGGTCAGTATGAGCTGATTTTGCTAGGAAGCTGGTCCTGAAAAAAGAATCGGTAACAACTATTCGTGTCCCTGCTGAACCTCCAGAAGAAGTGAGTGTAAAGTTTTATTAACCTTTATATTAATCTTTGCAAATCGCGCAAAAAAGTTTTTCATGACCATTAACTGTAACATCAATCTGTCAACAAACAAACGTATACATCAGTAAACACATAGCGTTCGTATCTCACTACTCTACCCTGCCAGTGCATACAAAGATAGATCAAAGTGACATTACGTTAACCAACCATTCAGAAACGGCCTGTTCGAGCCTTAATTGTCGAACTTCTTCGGGCCGTCATCTTGTTCCGGGTCCGACTCCGGTTCAAACTGATACGGTTGCACAGATGTGTCCTCAGAGACTCCCGCTGCCATTCTTTCTCCAAAATATACCCTCAACTGTTGTCAAGGCAACACTCCATGTGTGTTGTGTCAAAAAGCCCGCAGAACAGAGGGGCGGAGTCAGCAAAGCTCATTACAATTGGTTCGATTGATTCGTATTTTCGAAAAAGCCGAGTTTCTCCCAACACCACCTCCAGTGTAAAATCCACTAATATGTGATTTTATGTATGTTTAATAAGGGTGGGAAAGAACAAGGAATAACTTTATTCTTATGAACCAATGGAATCGCCCAGTTGCATAAACTCCCACTCATACAAGTCTGGAGAATCATGTCTGTTAATGAAGAGGGAGGGATTATCATTAATTTGCCAAAATCTGTAGAGTACAAAAAGACCAAAGGGCAGCATCTCAACAGTGTGACTAGCTGTTGAACAATGGCAGGAAGTTGGTATGCTGTTCAGTCTCTGGCACTTTGTGTTTGGTTCGGTGCTTTCTGTCATGCTGTTCCAAAGTGGAGTAATCTTCCCCAGAATTCTCAAACTCTGATGTTCCAGCAAACTGACCAGCGGTTTCAACAACCAGTTCAACAGCAAGCTAGTCAACAGTTTTCTCCGCAGTTTCAACAGTCAGTTCAACAGCAAGCTAATCAACGGTTTCCTCAGCCAGTTCAACAGCAAGCTAGTCAACAGTTTCCTCAGTCAGTTCAACAGCAAGCTAGTCAAAGGTTTCCTCAGCCAGCTCAACAAGCTAGTCAACAGTTTCCTCAGCAGTTTCCTCAGTCAGTTCAACAGCAAGCTAGTCAACAGTTTCCTCAGTCCGTTCAACAGCAAGCTAGTCAACGGTTTCCTCAGCCAGCTCAACAAGCTAGTCAGCAGTTTCCCCAGTCGGTTCAACAGCAAGGTAGTCAACAGTTTCCCCAGTCAGTTCAACAGCAAGCTAGTCAACAGTTTCCCCAGTCAGTTCAACAGCAAGCTAGTCAACAGTTTCCTCAGCAGTTTCAGCCTAAGCAGCCAGTGGCACAGGCAGAGCCCCTTGACAAATGTACTGTAGCTGATTATGAGCAGATCCAATGTGGACCACCTGGTATCAGTGGTGCTGAGTGTGCAGCTATCAACTGCTGCTTTAATGGACAGCAGTGTTACTATGGGAAGGCAGGTAAGAGTGTTGAGTCAATGTAAAGGTGTTCATGTTAAACTGATCTTCAGCAATAACCTGCTCTTGTACCTTGTTTCAGTGACTGTCCAGTGTATAAGAGATGGTCAGTTTGTGGTAGTGGTGGCTAGAGACGTTACGCTGCCTCGATTGAGCCTGGATTCAGTCCGTCTCCTGGGTGGAAATGATCCAGCTTGCAGTCCTGTGGGATCCACACCTTTCTTTGCTATATATCAGTTCCCTGTCACTGCATGTGGCACAAGCATGATTGTGAGTAGCTGCTTGTGGTTTTGTTCTGCATGGCTTGGAATGGACTGGATGCCAACGGTTACTATTTGCAGGAGGACAGTGGATATGTGGTGTATGAAAACAGAATGACCTCCTCGTATGAAGTGGGAATGGGACCACTTGGTTCCATCACAAGGGACAGCCATTTTGAGTAAGTGATGCATGCTTTATCATAAATGTTAATCCTGGACAAATGCTTCAAGCTCACTGTTTGTTGTCCAGGCTTCTCTTCCAGTGTAGGTACTCTGGTACTTCTGTGGAAGCTCTGGTTGTGGAGGTCAACACTGTTCCTCCACCTCCACCAGTAGCTGCTCCTGGACCCCTCAGAGTGGAGCTTAGACTGGCAAATGGTCAATGTGTCACCAAAGGCTGTGCAGAAGGTAAGTGTTTGTCCCAAGTATGCCTAAAGCCTTTCTAAAACTCCAGTTTGCAGCAGTTTCAAGTTAAACACTGTATTCTTCCTCAGGGGACGAGGCGTACACGTCCTACTACAGTGATGCTGATTATCCGGTGACAAAAGTCTTGCGTGAACCTGTGTATGTTGAGGTGCACATTTTGGAGAGGACCGACCCCAACATTGTCTTGATGCTGGGACATTGCTGGGCGACATCAACCCCTAGTCCACTCAGTCTACCCCAGTGGGACCTTCTGGTTGATGGGTGAGTAAGGCCAGTCTTTATCCATCTAGTGTGCAGTAAGGTGTTTCTGACTGCCTCTTTGCCTTTCAGATGCCCTTACCAGGATGATCGTTACCTGACCACATTGGTTCCAGTGGCTGGATCATCTGGTCTTCAGTTCCCAACCCACTACAAGCGCTTTGTTGTGAAGATGTTCACATTTGTAGATCCAGCATCACTGGCTCCTCTGCAGGAAATGGTACAGTACCCATTGTGTCAGTTTTCAACTGTCTCTTGGTTCCTAATGCCAGCTTTGGTTCTCCTCTCAGGTCTTCATCCATTGCAGTACAGAGGTGTGCCATCCCTCTTCTGGCTCTTGTCAGCAAAGTTGCTCCAGGCAAAGTCAGTGCTTCCTGTTATTTAAACGGTTTAATTTAGCTTGTGTTTTTAAAGTTGTGGGAGTGTTAATTTTTGTTTGTTTTCTTGCACTTTTAGGAAGGGACGTTCGTTTAAACACTACCACTTCTGGCCAAACTGTGGTTTCTAGTGGAGAAGTGAGACTGATTCT